GCGTTCTTATCATAAGCATTAAATAATGCCAAAATGGGGCATTTTCAATGCCTCACTGTTCCTTAATGAGCATGGGCACCCCCCTTTTTTATTTCAAAAGTGAAGTTATCATGTGACAAATATTTAGTGGACAAAGTTTGAACAAAAATCTAATGTCACTTTTATTTCAGAGGAATTACCTTTAGATACCCCGATTTTCACGCACGGGTACGGCTAGCGCCATTTTGAATTCATTAAATGATCACGTGATCGCGTCCTTCCCGTAAGAGCTACACGTTTTCCCGGGGTAATCAGTGGTCTACACGTAAGTTCGCGCCCAGTAAAAATGGAGAAACGGGTAAGTTTTTATGGTCTTTATCTTTATCTTCCAGATTCTTGTATAAACACTTGTTTTTCAAATTTGAAGCGTTTTGGGATTACGAAAAAGTTTCGTTGAGGCACAAATGTGGAGAAATTTTTGCCTGTCAAAAGGTCGTGCTGCTTTCCAAAACACGCGTTGACTGAGGTGTAGTCTCTTCGCGAAAGTTTAGTTGAGACACATTTAAAATAGATTTAATACACAACAGGTCATGAACTACGATGAAAAAAACCTAAATTCAAATTACATACTTTATGTTGACTTGAGAGGATACTTCTTGATTAAAACGTTTTGATAGAAGTAAGGTCATGAACCACGATGAAAAAGACCTAAGTTCAACTTACATACTCTATGTTGACTTGAAAGGATACTTCTTGATTAAAACGTTTTGATAGAAGAAAACGAGGCTTTGCCCAGATCGCACCCGGTTGTCACCGGTGTACCTTAAGTTTGATTGGTTTCCCGTGTAACCGAGTACGGGTACGGGTAATCCTACCCGTACCCGTACCTGGAACCGGGCTATCTTAAGGTGTCTAATGCTGAAGGCAAACTTGTATGATTGGACGATATAAGATTGGAAAAAACAAACTATGTCGGGCAATTGTTTCTGATTAAAGAAAGCCACATAGAACTCGTTGACATTTGATGTGTTTATTTCATTTAGCAAATAACCTACTTCTACGTGCTTAGTATGCATTCCTCCGCAACAAAACATGACGTTATTAACACACTATTTATCGATCATGGTACAAAGCTTTTCTAAACTGAAGCCGGGAGTAATTGAACCTTTTGAAGGATTTCTAAGTATTTTCAAGCAGCATCGCTAACTTTTTATCTTGGGCAATCATAATCTAGTCTGCTGGAATGTATTCCTTTAAAGCTAAATGCACTTTCAGGCGTTTGCGGTACTGGTTAATACAAAATATTGAAAATCTCCTGCTCTAATGTTCACGCCTCTCACAGCAGCTACCATTAACAGCAATTTTAAGCAGTCTTTTGAGCTCAGTAAATCATTAATATAAAGAAATCGAAAAAGTTAGCATTGTCCTTTGACGTAACAGCTCTTCAACACGCAAACTGGTCCGCAAATTGATCCAATATGGATTTATCTTTGTTGTCGCGCTGCTTCGTTGGCCACAGTTTAACAAACGAATTCTGGTCCAGCTCGTATTTGCCTGTCTTATCCAGCCCCATGAACAAGTACTCTTCAAGTTCTTTGAGATCTGGACTTTGACAGGATCCTCGCTTTGTGAACTGGATTCTTTGTTTATTCGCTAAGTTTTTGTTGCCCTGCTTGATGATTTCCTGCACCTCAACCACGTAGTTGAGCACGGCGTTGTCCTCGTCGATCAGCAAGACTTTACCTTTTATAACTGTTAATAAAAAAGTGGAATATATTTTTAAAACAGTGAAGCATTATTTTTGATGCATCATTTTCTTTCCCTCTCAGAGAACAGTTCCTCAGTCCTAACTTTAGTAAAGGTAATGAAGACTCTGATTCCGATGCAGAATTGTAGATTGTCTTTGCGTCTGTGTCTAAACGGGTCTTCCGTGCAAAACCATTCATATGTGTTCCTCTTGCATGCTGCCATTTGAAAAGGTCGCGGATCAATACTCGCCGTCGTCTCGCTTTAGGGTGTATATCACGAATTGTGATCTCACTCGGGGTGTTAAGGACGAAACGTTACTAATTTTGGCGGACTAGGTATTTTAGGGTTGCACTGCACTCGAAAAAAGAAAGAACAAACTCTGTCATGCCCATTTTAAAGAGATACGTTTTGGGGGCTAAATAAAGCTCGGACGCGCCCAAGTTGGTCTCCTTTAGGGGTTTAATTGAAATGTTGCGACGAGCATCCCCGACCTTTTCACATGAGAGTACCGCCAGGGATAAAATCGGAAAAAATGACTAGGCGAGTCAATATATAAGTATTCTTTAAATATGGACAGACGACTTACCGTATTCGTAATCATCACAAGCTAAGTCAATAAGCTTGTCCAAATTACCAATAGGAGGGTCTTGTTGCGCACACTGATCTGAAACAAGATAAAAAAAAAATAGATAGATTACATTAAATGAAACAACTTGATTGGCTTGACACCGAGTTGATTAACTTCGTTGAGCGATTAGAAGCAAAGGGAGGGGGGGGGGTGAAGCGTACTATCCTCATACGGCTAAGTTGCAATAAGCCTGACTTACAAGTCACCCCTTGCAAAAAGTTAGAACATTACGGAGAGGTCAAAAATGACGTTTACAGTAAACAGCAGACGGCAAAAAAATAAACATTTGCCGTTTGTCTTTAGCCTTTCGTACACTTAAGTGAAAGTATTTTGTATTTGCTGTGAATAAGAATTTTCCGTTCTATATTGTGTTGATTAATTTAAGAATTAGAGTGGTAAAAGAAAACAAATCAGAGGAATTTTTTGCCGTTGCTAATAACGTCAATCTTACACTCTTTAATGCTGAGAAGTAAAACGCTCAGTTAATAATAAACTTGGAGTTTTAGAGCGGTTTTCAACTGAGCGTCGTACAAAACCAAAGTAATCACTCTAGCCAATCATAAAGGACACAGACAATACGATGAACCAATCAAAATTCGAAGCAATTACATGTAGCTGACGCAAAGCGCGGGAAAACGTTTGCAAGGTAGTCACGATTGGTTTTGGTTTTACTTCTGATTGGGTGAAAAAGTGGCGCGAGTTTTTTAGCCAATCGTCGAGCGTAGTAAATCCAAAACCAATTACTTTTCGACACTCAATTGAAAACCGCTCTATATAAAGACAAATTAACAGCAATAGCGAGTTTGAGAAGCTGACGTGACGCAAAGACGAGGATCCACTGCTCTAAACATCAGCTTTCAAAATTCCTGCCGCAATTGATCTGTTGGAAAAATGTTTTCTTCAGCAAGACAAATTCTTTCCCATAAGCAATTCCGGAAATCAATTATTCATAGATACCTTGAGAACATCTGCACGATTTGCTTCCAATATCGCAAACTCCCAACTTCAATGGGCTGAACTTGTCGGGTCCATAAAATTTACTACAGGACTGATCTGAGCGACAAATGGGAAAATAAGAATTAATTGTACTATCAACGTTTCAAGTAAGTAAAATACACTACAACAATAAGTCCGTGTAATTATTCTACTGTGACAGTACGTAGAAAATAATGCTATTGATATTGCCCAAGTAGTAGACACTGTCATCTTTAACAGCTGTTTCATTTGGCATTTTATGGTTATTTGAGCATGTTCCTGTTTAACTTCGCTTGCTACGTTTTCAAGGGACATCATTGCATGGCAGTGAAATCAGCCGCATTCACTTGCCAATGACAATGACTTCGTTGCTCTCTTAGCTTGGCCAATCAGATTTATCTCGGGTCTACCACTGATTATAAGACTTCCTCGCCTTCGCCACCGTTAACATAAAAGACTTTTGTTTCGGGTTGTAATCATTTTACTAGTCTACTACTTGCAGCCGTAGTTACAAAGCTCATTTGTTACACGACCTCGTTTTTCTCGCTTAAGATTCATTTTATTTCATCTAGGCGTACCTGGTTCGTAGTAGTCGTATACATTGACCGGCACCGCCTGTACCACGCCCACGTAATATTCTCGGTCAAACTGGACATCTACACAGAGATCACGGTCACTGGGGATCTGAAACGAAATAATGCACAGAACGTATGAGTTGACACTTGCACTGTTGACTATCACACACTACAGGGTTGCTTGCCTTAAAAAGTGTTCTCTCTGAAAATTCGTTTCTTCAGGACATCGCATGGTAATTATTGGAGGGGAATTCGCAGTGAATAAGATTATTTATGAACACGAGATATCTGTGATATTATGTTTCGCGAATTTTCATTGTAACGTGCAAATTCCATTGTCCTGGAAATTATCGATCCTCCTCCTGTAAACATGTGAGATTCGCAGTTGCCTACTATATGATCAGGCTGTTGGAGCCCAGGGGCTGAATTTATGACCTCCAACCGTACTCTTGCGAACGCCTCAGCGCTTAAAGGAGCTACGTCACATCTTGCTACGTCGCATCTTGAAAAGTTTAGCTAAATTTTTCACGTTCGTTCGTTTATAATCCGTGTTAATCTTCTCCATCCTTAACCATCCCTATTTCTTTATGGTCTACTATTCTCTCTTCAGTGCTCTTCTATCTTAGTAAACTACTTTTTTTCTGGTTTCCGTCGGTTTAAAACTAATTTTGTATGTGACCAAAATAATTAAAAAATACCGTGACTGAGCTCCTTCAAATTCTCGCAGTTTGCCGGCAATCTTCTCTTTTTTGCCAGGAATCAGACTTCATTCTCAAAGAACAAAATGCAGCATGTGACTGAAACTCTGATATCTTACCTCGCTAAGATACACAACCAGCGATCTGTCGGATACTTCGTATTTGTCCAATTCGTCTAAAGTATCTTCCAACTGTGAAAAGACCAACAGAACAAAATTACTACATCTTACATCCTCACAGCAAGTAGCAATTGGGGTGCACATCAGCAACAACAAAAATGCAACAAATGCAACTCAAACAGCTGCAATAACTACAGAAAAGAGCCACTCGAGTCAGTGTTCGGGCAAACTACTCGTTGAGTCTATACTAGCGTAATTCATACTGTACATCTCAGTAGATACAGGAGCGCAGTAAAATCGAGACAATTTGCCATACTTCTTCTAGTACCATCGTGAACACATAGTAACCGACAAATAAGCATTTTCAATTTAATTTTTCTAGTCGCTGGCAAATTTGTATTTATTCTTTTTTTCCAGGAGAAATGCATTCAACTTCTACTTCCCAGCAAATTTCCCTGACACCTTTTCCCACTATGCCAACAGACACATCATCAGAATTTACACACACTCAGTACACTTGAGAGGGCGGTTCCCCTTGGGAGTGTATGTGTGTGTGTGTGTGTGTGTCTGTTTGTGTGGTGGATTGGGGCGGGGGGAGGGCATTCACAAAAACAGCCCACAGGAAATACCAATTTACGGTTTAGGGTTAGATTGAGTACTCATGAGTTCCCAGTGAAGAAGAAGTCGCTTGGGGAACAGATATCAAGAAAAAGGTGTCAAAGTCCGTTGCAGATACAGCAAGAAAATGCTTACCTTTTGCAGGGACTTCTTGTCTGGTGCAAATCCAGTTAAAATCCCAATGTCCATAATGGACATTCCAGTGTTTCCTTTTTCCTTATACCTGCAATGCAATAAATGCATCAATGCAATAAAAACGACTCCCTCAGGGTTCAAAGGGAAACAAACAACGTACAACAATCATAACACGCGCTTAGCACTTTTGCATAAATTCATCACTTAGTTTACATTGAACCCAGATATCCAACTCTTGAGTTGCTAGATAGGTTTTACTTGTACACTGATAACAACTGAAAAGAGATCATTCTTCACGCTAGAATTGAACCTTACGAAATGTTCAGCAGTTGGGAGGCACTTTCGATATCTTAGAGCAGTCCTGTCATTTACTACGACATAACCACAAGCCCAAGCATCGACATAACGATGCGAGAACTCCCACAGCACAAGTACACGGTTGTAAGGACGCACACAAAACAAGCGTAAACACAAGTACAAGCAGAAAAACAGTCTGTCCTTCTTGTGCTTAGGCTTAAGGCTGTTTACCACTTACAGGGAGAAGCCGGTTTGTCAACGGTTTGTGCAAATGGTAAGCAAAAATGCCTGAAGGTAAGCTCCGTCCGCCATTTACGATTTACCTAAAAAATCAAATTTATTGAAAAAGACTAGGACGAGTTCGACTTGATCATAATTCCAAATTGGGGGTGGAGAATTGCATATGGTAAGCACATTTCCCAACTCGGATATTTTAGTTGCAAATTTTCGACTGCCTGTCAAGTTAAGACGTTCCGTTTATTTCGAAAATTTTCTCGTCGGTGGTCCAAAATTGTCTTACCATTTACATTGTGACCGAAATTTTCAGAAGTTTTGGGTAAATGGCAAACAACCTGTGTCAAGTGAGAGCGTGCTACTATGAGCATAAGCATAAGTTTAAGCAAAAGTCGATCCGCCGTCTCGTTTTACTGCATCGGGGAGGTCGAGGAGATACGGGTCCGAAATAAGACAATAGACCATTTTACAGTTGTCTGCTCA